TTCCCCTTTTTGGGGCCACCCCCCTTTGTGGGAATCGGCCGGTGTGATAATAAAAAAAATAATAATAATAATATGCAGGCATTTGGCAGAGAGGTGGGTGCAAGCATGGTGGGGGATGTGGGTTAAGGGCAACTGTGGGAGATGGGTGAAGGTGTCAGTCCAGAGTCATTCTGGCCCCTGACATATGGCCAGGAGGTTGAGGATGTGTGTGACGGGGGAGGGAGGTTAATGAGAGGTTAAAATACATAGGCAGAGTCATCTGAAAAATAGGCACTGGCTTTGGACATTGTTGGTCAGGGTCTGCTAAAATTACTGCAACAGCATAAACCACCAATAAGCATTCCTGGCAATGGTTTATAACCAAGATATAAAAATAACATTTATTTTTGGTGTAAGGATTGACCGAAAATGTAGAGCAAGTGTTATACAGCCTCTCCTCACTTAGCAACGTACTACTTCTTTACCGACAACTCGGACTTACGACGGGCTCTCTGACCAGTATGCATATGTGCATATTAGAGCTGATTTCCTCTATTCTGTTTATTACAATATACAGTAAACTACTGTATAAACATTTAAAAATATACCAAAAAAGCTATAAATGGTACAAAGGTGATATTAAAACATTATCAAATATGGTTGACACAACCCACTATGATCATAGTATGTTTCCCTCACTGAGCGATGAATTTGTTTACCGAACGGAAAGCGTCGTTAAGTGAGGAGAGTCTGTATATTAGAGACATGTGGATGTAATTAACGAGAGAGGAAACAAAGTTACTGTAGTGACTGCAATGTCCATACTTGATGTTTTTGACTTCCACAAAATTTAAATTTTTGAAAATTTGTGTAAAATTGATTAAACTACCAACTCCTAAGTACTTAACAGGGTAGTTCCGATGGCAAATGCTCAGTGTCTCGTGATTAATGCACTCTACACGAGATATATCAGAAAAATAGCTGACCACTGCATGGATTTCAATACAGGAATAAGCTGAAAATTGGACTCAAAGTGCTGCCAAACTTCAACATTTGTGCCTGTATAAATCTCTATTACATAAAACTTTTTCATTTCAGTATCATTATCTTTAAGAAAAGATTCTCTACATTTTACAAGATAAACTTTTTCTTGATAAATACTGGTAAGAAAGGCAGCTTTTTATCTGTACATTGCAAACCCTTGAAGCATTAATTTACTATCACTTAATATATTAAATTAGTAATATACAAAATCAATTACTTTTTAAACATTACTCTCAGTGTAATCACTTAATGTAAAAACAAATACAGTGGTCCCTCGCTTTTCGTAGTTCTCGGCAATCGTAAATTTCGCCAATCATAGGGTATTTTCACATAAACATGGACTCGCTTTCATAGGTTGACTCGCGAATAGTAGTTCGTATGGGATGCGTACGCACGGTGGGGAGCTGGGGCGGCGTCCCCCTACCCCGCCAGTCTGGCATTGTTTACCAGTGAGTGAAGGTCCCCTCAAGTGCTCCTATGAAATATTTCATAATATTCCACTCATTTTAGTGCTTGCAATTACCAAATAAGCTACCATGGCTCCAAAGAAAGCTTCTAGTGTCAAGCCTGTGGTAAAGAAGGTGAGAAATATGTACAGTGACAAAGTTTCTTGGCCATTTTTCAGGAAGTGTTAAAGAGACGCCAGAAACAGAGCTCTCTCCAGTTACTTTGTGAGACAGGACTCCAGTGACTCTCAAGGTGGTCCTAGTGGCATTAAGAAACAGAGAAGAGAAGCAACCCCAGAAAAGCAAATGGTACCTGAGGTGTTGATGGAAGAGGATTCCCCTTCCAAACTATAAACAATCCACTCTCTCTCCTCCTCCAGTCTCCCATACACTAAGAAAAAATCTCCAATAAAGGTAAGTGTTATGCTGTTAATGTTTCATTCATCATTTCCCATTGTATTGTTTATGTACTACATGTATATTTCATGTTAAAAATTTTTTTGTTTTAATACTTCTGGGTGTCAGGAGCAGATTAATTGTATTTACATTATTTCTTATGGGGAAAATTGATTCCCAAATCGTAAATTTCGTTTATAGTAACGGCTCCAGGAACGGATTAATTACGAAAAACAATGGACCACTGTACATGCATTATTACTATTAAGGTAGCCCTGTAGCTGGGTTGGTAGCTCACTCAGCTCTCACACAGACATGCGGGGTTCAATCCCCTGTACAGCTGGAAACATTAAGACACGTTTCCTTAAGACACCTGCTGTCCCTGTTCACACAGTAGTAAGTAGGGGCCCCCGGTGTTAGTGGACTGGTGCGAGTCACTTCCAGGGACAAACTTAACCTAGTTTCCAGGAAATGCTCTGTATAAACAAGGACTTTCTATTTAGTATACATGTATTATCATTTATGTCACTTTGTCAAATATAATGATTCAAACATTATGATCCATATACATGTACTCATCATTACCAGTCACCATTATGCTTCACCATTATAACTGACCATTACCACTCACCATATTTGACATTATTCCACAAACCCAACATTTTTGTTTTGACGGATGTCTCGCTCTCTGGAGTCGAACCAGCATTTTTTTTGATTGTTTTTTCAGGACCGGAGCTGAAATATGACTTGATAAAAGAGGCAGACATTGCTAATGTATGTGATGGTGGCAGACTTCTTACTTTTGTGCTGCTAGAGCTCTTGTTCCCATCCCCAGGCATACTAGTTTGACCTCTACCGCCTATCAGTTCCACACTGATTGGAAAAGTAACTTTTGGTGTGACTTGTCCGGCTCTTAGTGGCAGGCATTCTGACTGCCACGTCACTGTTCTCCAGAGTTCCATCTTCAAGTTGTGGTGCAGGAAGAGGCGTTTGTTTATGCTCTGCTTCGGGTACTGAGACACTCATGCCTCCTGCTGTTCTGACAAAATATTTATTACACTCATGTTAGAAGTGGGAGATTTACACAGCCGAACTCTCGCTAGTTTGCTACTGGGGCCTGTCGGTAGCCCGGCTGTTCGCCGACATGCCTCGAGTAGGTTCCTCAAAATAATTTGCCACGTAGACGGAGTCACAAGGCCATCTTGGAGCCTCGGTACATTCCTGAGCCATGTGGATGGGTAGTACAGTCTGGTTCCTTAAATCCTGACTGCCACTTGAGGCTCTTCTGTGTTGATGCCGGAACTTGCATGTTTAACAGCTACAGACTGCAAGCTGGGAATCATTCTTCATTTGTCCTAGAAAAATGAAGAATATTAATAACAGTAGAATATGATACTAGAATAATACTCTATTAGTACAGTATTAATATATATATACAGTGGACCCCTGCTTAAAAGATCACCTCCCAATGCGACCAATTATGTAAGTGTATTTATGTAAGTGCATTTGTACGTGTATGTTTGGGGGTCTGAAATGGACTAATCTACTTCACAATATTCCTTATGGGAACAAATTCGGTCAGTACTGGCACCTGAACATACTTCTAGAATGAAAAAATATCATTAACTGGGGGTCCACTGTATATATTATATACACAAAACCTATAATTAACAGACTGTCAATTAACACATACAGTAAAATTACTGATCCCAAATCTGCACACAGAAAAACACCAACCTATGAAAGCAAAAGACTCAGCAGAAGTGATTTGAGTACACAGAAATAACACAAAAAGTGTCAGGGGCCCAAGATTGTTCAACAGCCTCCTGGTACACATAAGGGGGATTACCAATAACCCCTGGCTGTCTCTGAGAGGAACTGAACAGATACTAAAGTCAGTATCTGACCAGTCAGGCTGTGATTCTATGCTGGATTGCATGCAGCCAGCAGCTACAGCCTGTTTGATCAGGCCCTGATCCACCACAAAGCCTGGCCCATGAACTGGGCCATGGGGGAGTTGACCCCCAAAACACCCTCCAGTAAAATACAATCACTGGATTTATTAAACAAGATACCAAAAAGACATTATTTCTGGATTTAGTTCATAACTATACTGTCTGGTTCTCTTCTGAATCACTCAATTAAGTCTGACGATATAAAAAAAAAAAAACACGGAATGGATGGGGTTTGAACATGTAATAACCACTGGGCATGTTTTCTTAAGACACCTGCTGTCCTTGTTCACCTAGCAGTAAGTAGGTACCTGGGTGTTAGTGGACTGGTGTGAGCGGCATCCTGGGGGCAAAACTGACCTAAGTTGTAGGAAATGTTCTACATAACCAGGAACTTTCTATGTAGCATGTCACTGATGTTAAGTTAGGTCTGTAGCACTAGCTGACATGTCACAGCCTCGTCCACACTGAGCGATATACTCGTTTACGGTTTCTCTGACTAGTAGCATACCTAAATAACAATATATGAGAGCTGATTTACTCTATTCTGTTTATTTCCTTCAATATAGCAGTACACTACTACATAAACAGTTAAAAATAACCAGATATGATATAATAGGTTGCAAAAGTGAATTAAAACAATAGCAAAGATGTTGACACAAACACACTGCCATTATATGTGCTTCCTCACTTAGTTACGAATTCTTTTAACCACATGGTCTTAGAAACTCAACTGCTCTATTAAGCGAGGAGAGGCTGTACTTGTAGAAGAAGATTATTATTATTATAGTAAGCATAGATAAGAAAGCCACTAATTTTGGAAATTAATTTCAAGCAACTAATCCTAAAAAAAAAATGTTCCTTACGATTAGGCATGGATAACTAAGTAACGTTCTTACAGTTAATCTCAATCCATAAGTAGCAATAATAAAGGAAGTTAATGAACAAATGGTACCGATTAATACAATATTTACTTATTCAAGATTATTCAATGTTTCTTTAGTTTGCAGAGTAAATGGTAATTATTATAATCATAACCAAACACTAAACCTTGTAAGGGTCTTCAAAACTGCGAATTAATGTGAAGATACAGCAAATATTTAGGTACAAAAGGAAACAGAATAGACCAAAATGGTGTTACCAATTATGTGTGTTAGTTGAAGGATGGAAGAAACCAGGAACAAACAGGATGGAAAACTGGTTGTGTTTAACATAAATGTAGGTATTGTCTGTCTTAATTATGTAGGAAGATATCCTAGAAGAGACTTATCCCAGATAAAGTATACAACATAAAATCTCTCTCTGGTATACAGACATATTCCACTTTATGCATTTGGCCAATAAATTCGCCTTTGGCGTCACTTTTTCTGGAGTAAAATTTCAGTTCAGCGACCGTCATTAACACTCTTTACTCCACATTACGTTGCTCGGCAACATCTAACCGAGTCATAATTTTTTTGTTCATTAATCTTAAAAATATGACTAAAATGTGTTTTTTGATGTTGTATTATCGGTTCAGCAATGGTTACATTCTTAGCACGAGTTATTTAAGCATAGTTTAAGCGATGTTGTCGTCACATTAAGGCAGCTTAAAGACATACTCTTGTTCCTGTCCAAAAAACGGATTACGATTCGGAGGCCTTGGAATAAGTACAGGTCCAAGTACCAATACATCCAAGTAACCAAGTACAAAGTACAGTCAGTCACGTACAGAACCAAGTACCAATACCAGTCAGTCAAGTAACAGAACCAAGTACCAAGTACAGTCAGTCAAAGTAAAGAACCAGTACCAGTACAGACCATCAAGTACAGAACCAAGTAACCTAGTACATGTCCGTCAAGTAACAGAACCAAGTACCAAGTAACAGTCCGTCAATACATAACCAAGTACCAATACAGTCCAGTCAAGTAAAGTTACAGAACCAGTACCAAGAACAGTCAATCAAGTACAGAATCCTAAGTACCAAGTACAGTCAGTCAAGTACAGACCCAAGTACCAGTAACAACAGTCAAGTACAGAAACAAGTCCCAAGTACAGTCAGTCAAGTACAAACCAAGTAGCGCAAGTACAGACAGACAAGTACAGAACCAGTACCAAGTACAGTCAGTCAAGTACAGAACCATACCAAGTACAGTCATCAAGTACAGAACCAAGTACCAATTACAGTCAGTCAAGTACAGAACCAAGTACCAAGTACAGTCAGGGGTCAATAACAGAACCAAGTAACCAAGTACAGTCAGTCAAGACAGAACCCAAGTACCAAGTATAAAAATCAGTCAGTCAAGTAAAGAACCCAAGTAACCAAGTACCAGTCCAGTCAAGTACAGAACCAAGTACCAAGTACAGTCAGTCAAGTACAGGAACCCAAGTACCAAGTACAGTCCTAGTCAAGTACAGAAACCAGTAACCAAGTACAGTCAGTCAATAGAACCAAGTACCAATTACAGTCAGTCAAGTACAAACCAAGTACCATGTACAGTCAGTCAAGTACAGAACCAAGTACCAAGTACATCAGTCAAGTAAAAAGAACCAAGTACCAAGTACAGTCAGTCAGTACGAGAACCAAGTACCAATACAGTCTGCAAGTAAAGAACCAAGTACCAAGTACAGTCCAAGTCCAAGGCACAAACCAAGTACCAAGTACAGTCAGTCAAGTACAGAACAAAGTACCAAGTACAGCAGGCAAGTACAGAACCCAAGTACAAGTTCAGTCAGTCAAGTAATTAACCAAGTACCAAGTACAGTCAGTTCAAGTACAGAAACCAAGTACCAAGTACAGTCAGTCAAGTACAGAACCAAGTACAGTCATACCCAATTAGGATGGGGTATAACTGTACTTGAAAAATATCCCAGACAACTTACCCTGAAAAATACATGGAATACTTCATCAATATGCCAGATAAATTATGTCTCGGGGATACTTGATAAAGTATCCCCGAGATTATATTTGAAAAGTACCCAGAGATTAGCTTTGAAAAGTATCCCAGAGATTATCTTGAAAAGTTATCCCCGAGATACTTTGAAAAGTATCCCACAAGATTATCTTTGGAAAAGTATCCCAAGATTATCTTTGAAAAGTATCCCCGAGATTATCTGTGAAAAGTATCCCTCAGATTATCTTTGAAAAAAGTATGCCCCGAGATATCTTTGAAAAGTATCCCAGAAGATTATCTTTGAAAAAGTATCCCAGAGATTATCTTTGGTAAAGTATCCCAGAGATTATCGTTGAAAAGTATCCCCGAGATTGGGTATCGAACCGCAGGGTCGATGTGCGTTTCCTAATCTCTCTAATCTCGCTCGGTCCAAGTGCTTCCAGATCCCTGGTTCGCCGTAGTAGTAGCTCACACTGGTTCAATCCAACCGAGCATCGGCCTAGAGGAGCTACTAGCTCCCTTGTAAGAGCTCTAGCTCCCTTGTAGGCTCCTAGGCTCCTCCCTTGTGGAACCCCATTGCACACTTTTGGACTTCTAAGCTGTCCTTGTGGGCTCCCTAGCCTCCCCTTTAGGACACCCGAAAGCTCCCTTGTGGACAGCTAGCTCCCTTTGGGCTCCTAGCACCCTATGGACCTTGCTCGCTTGTGAACCCCAATCACCCTTGTGGACCCATACACCCTTGTGGACTCCCCAAGCTCCCTTGTGTATTCTAGATTCCTTTCTGAACCCGTACTACCTTGGAACCCCTAGCTCCTTTCTTAAACCCTAGCTAACTTCTGAACCCCTAGCTCTCCCTTGGGACTCCTAGCTCACTTGTGGCCCCTGCTCTTTTCTTAACCCCTAGCAACCTTGTGAACCTCTAGCTCAATTGTAGACCCCTAGCTACCCGAGGACACCTAACTACCTTGTGGACCCTTAAGCTCATTGTGGACCCCTAGCTCCCTTGCTCGGCTCCTGTCTCCCTTGGGGCTTCTATATCCCTTGAGAACCACTAAGCTCCCTTCAGGACCACTAGCTCCCTTGTGGACCCCAAGCTTCTTGTCGACTCCTAGCTCCATTTCTGGGCTTTCCTAACTTCCTTGTGGACCCCAAGCTCCCTTTTGAATCCCTAAGCTCTCTTGTGACCCCAAGCTCCCTTGTGGACCCCTTGCTCAGCTTCCCTTGTGGACCCCTTAGCTTCACCTTGTTGGCTACTAGATTCTTGAACCTTTGCTCCCATCTGGACCCGTAGTTCCTTGTGGACCCCTAGCTCCATAGTGGACCCCATCTCCCTTGTGGACCCCCCTAACTATCTTGTGGAACATAGCTCCCTTCTGGGCTCCTATCTCCCATGAGGGCTTCTAATCCCTTGTGAACTCTTAGCTCACTTTCTTGACCTCTAGCTCTCTTGTGGATCCCTTAACTCTCCCTTCTGAACTGAACCCCTAGCTTTTCAAGTGAAACTCCTTGCTCCCTTGGTCCTTCGAGCT